GCTCTCTCTCTCTCTCTCTCTCTCTCTCTCTCTCTCTCTCTCTCTCTCTATCTCTATCTCTATCTCTCTCGCTCTATCTCTCACGTGCTCTCTCCCTCTTTTCTTCGCTCACTCTCTCTATCTCTCTCTCGCTCTCCCACTCTATCTCTCTATCTCGTTTTCTATCTCGTTTTCTTTCTCTCTCTCTCTCTCTCTCTCTCTCTCTCTCTCTCTCTTGCTCGCTCGTTTCTTCTCTCATTCTCTCTCGCGCGTGCTCGCTCTCTCTCTCTCGCTGGCTCATTTCTTCTCTCTCTCTCTCTCTTGCGTGCTCTCTATCTCTCATTCTTTCTGCCTTTCTCTCTCTGTGTCTCCCCTTCTAACTCTCTGTCGCTCTGTCCTTCTTTCTCTCCCCCACTCGCACTCCCCGTCTCTCTGTCTATCTGTCTCCATCTCGCTCTCGCGCGCTCTCTCTGCCCACCCTCTTTTCCACTGTCTCTACCTTTGCTCCCATCTCTTTTGGCCCCTTTTGTCTTCCTCTCCCCTTCTATTTTTCTCCTTCTTTCTACTCTTTCGCTCTCCTCTTCGCCCCCACATCTCTCTCTCTCTCCCCTTTTCTCCTTCTCATTCTCCGTCTCTCCCTCTCTGCCTCTATCTCTCTATGTGTTGGGTCTGTGTGATGCTATGCGAGGGTACCGTATCCCAGACTCGTATAGAATCGCCTGCGGCGCGACCTATGGAGTCATGATCGTAAGGCTTCTCATAACACGCTTCTCGTATCAGCTTACCAAGCCGCCGCGTATATGTCATTCACGCGCCACCGTTAAGCGGGATCTGTGCGTTCATGGATCTATGTGCACTCCCAAGTCACACTGAACGTACGCAGGCGGTATCTGGGGCTGGTGTGTGTGTGTGTGTGGGGGGGGGGTGTCACAAAGTAAACGTAGCCCTTCGGGCGTGTGCGTGAATGCGCGCGCGTGCGTGTGTATGTATGGAAGTGAGTGAGTGAGTGAGAGTGAGTGTGTGTGTATGTATGTGTGTGTGTGCGTGCGTGCGTGCGTGCGTGCGTGCGTGCGTGTGTGTGTGTGCGTGTGTGTGCGTGTATGCGTGTATGTCTGTCTGTGTTTGTATCCGTGTTCATCTGAAGTATATGTATACGACACACGCGCAGTGCTACTGCTTCGCTGGCATGTATTCCGACACCTTAACGCGCAAAACACGCGAAAATTAGGTCGTTTGCAAAAAATCCAGAACTTTCGACGTTATTTGGCATTAGTTAATGTCTACCGCTTCGTTCGTCGCAGTGCCACATGAGCTTGTTGGTTTTAACTGCTGGTTTACTGTCTAGTTACATAGAAATCACGATGAACCCCCAGCTCTCTAACCTCACGGGCCCAACTACTCTCTTTTGGGTAGCAAGATGGTGCAGAGTACGTACAAGTATCGTAAATTAGGACTACCGCATAGATCTCGTATTTTAATGCTTGCCGGAAAGCCTTTATGGCATCGTTGAACTTTGTGGTTGAATGATCTCCGTTGCATAGTGAGAGATTTTATGTCAACTAGCAGTTAAAAAAAATTTAATTACACTTCGGTATCATCAATAACACAGATGTGTGTGGCATATAATTCGGCGCCTAACACCACCTCCTCTACTGAAACAGCTGCTGTCCCAGCATGCACCTCGCGGCTCTGTCTAGTTGGGTTCACCGACTAGCGAGGACGGACTATACTGGAGTAATATCCTAGTAGTCCGTTACTATAGATGAGACCTAATGTTTTATCTACATGTTTTGACTTTTGATTTTTTTTGTAGATAATTATTTGAAATCATCCTTCACCACTGGCTCATTAGTCAGCCAACGTCCGCAGTGTCGCCGTCATTGTAGATCGGTTAGAAACGCTAAACATCAAATACTACATAAAAGTAAGTCGATCTTTCATAGCGTGGCTAATGGCTTCCTTTTCCCGCAATCGCCGTCTTACGCCTTACGAGCAACTACAGTGTCTACCTGGACTGGTGCTACGTCGTTCTATTTACGCGTTCGTAATCCATCGCAACGCTGACGAGGGTCAGTCTAGGCTGCGAATGCGTGTGTCACATCTCGCAAATGACACACACGCCGAATGCAATTCAAGGAAAACAAGATTATCTTTCGTGTATCAATTGATGTGTGTATTTTTCTCAGAGGAGGCGAAGAGCATGGGCGAACGTCGCATCGACGTAAGCTGCTTGATGTGGCTATATAAAGTAGTTGCAGGATTACAGCGAGTATTGTCCGAAAACAGAAAAAACATTTTTCAACGTGATGACACCATTGACGCGACCGCCGTGAGACAGCGCAGAGAATCTAGCTTTTAGACCTACGACACTGTCGATGCCACGTTGGTCATAAAATTATGCTATGCAATTCCATGAAAAGCATTGCCGCATGAGGCCTATACCCAGCCTGATGATTATTACCGATTGTATTAATTGGTCTTTATAAGATCCGTCTTAATCGTTTTTTGTCCTAAATCCTTTTCGGAAATGCCATAACCTTGTTGTAAATCTTATATATAT